CCTGAATATGTCTCAAATATATTCTGATTGTCTCTCTGTTTCTTCTGCCATCTCCTAATTTAAGCAACTACTAATTCTTGCTTGGCCCATTACAAAAATGGCCTCCTAACAAAAATGACTCCAAATTCATCCCATCCCTATGCACACCACTTTGTTATACGACTTTGCTGTTCTTGGCATCAAGAAATGCTGTCCATTGTGCCACCCTTTGAATCTGTGCTTCGCCAATCAGATGCTAAGAAATATGACATAAGCCAAAGCTCAAAAAGAGCCTGTGCATCAGGGCTTGCTCTTTCTTGCTTTTCTTGGTAACCTGGCAACCATCGACCATGAGAAGAAGCCTAAGGTAATAAGAGACATGTGCCCCAGTCACCTCCATTGCCCCGCCCAGTACCCACCAAACGTGAGCAGGTAGCTGACTGCAGAGCTGCCCACTGACTCCTAGACTTGTGAACAATAATAAGACAGTGTTTATTTTAGGTCTCTAGGTTATAGTGTGGTTGATTTTGCAGACAGAGCTAAGTGACTCACCAGTCTTCCTTTCTTCAGCTTTTTCCTTCTCCATTGCTTCCAAGACACCCATGATCTTCCTAAAACGCAGGTCAGATTATATTACTTCCTCTTTCCCTCACATCTGATTGGTCAGCGTCTACCAAACAGTGAGCAAATTCACTTACTGTATTAATTCAAACTCTCCAGGATCTGGGGCTCAATTCTCCTTTGACATGTCCCTATCTTCACCCCACACCCTCTGTTCCCCAGACACACAAATTGATTTGATGTTCCCCTAACCTGGAGCTTACTGCCATGCCTGGATGAGGCGGTACATGCCGAGACCTGTCCCTGGAGCACCATTCTCTCTTTAATTTACAAGGCTCAGCTCAAATGTCCTGTCCTCGGTGCATGTACATTGTACCTTTTATTTTAGTTTCATTGATTTCTTACATCTTCTTTTGTGAGTTGACAGTTTCTTGAAGGCAGGAAGTTTAGACATTTATTCTTTGTAGCTTTTCCTCAGAGTACCCAGTATCATGCCTAAAACATGAAGAGTGCTTAACTGGGAAGTTTCTAGCAGCTTCCCAGAGTTGGGCAAGGTAGGCACGCTCTATTGAGGCAGGAGACAAAATGGTTAAAAGTAAAGGCTCTAAGACCAACTATGTGGGTTTGAACCCAAGACATTTTCCTTACCACCAGTGTGATCTAAGAAAGTTACCTAATAGTACCTCAGCTTGCTCATTTATAAATTGGGAACAATAATCAAACCTCCAGTACAAGGTGATTATGAAGAATGAGTGAACATGTGTAGAGCTCCTGGGAAAGTACATTCCTTTAGCTGCTGATGTTGGAGACGATGATCTCTCTCTCTCTGGACTCAGCCCCCTCCATTCCCTGGGAATGGTCTCTCACCCTCTCAGAAGCTGCATGGACAGCAGGTCATCCTTTGCCACAAGGAGTCTTCTTCATGTGTCAGCAGGAGGTAGAACAGTATGGAGAAGACTCAGACTTTCAGCGGGAGATGTGGGCCCTGCTCTGCCAGCTGAGTGGCCTTTACCAAGCTTCTTCCTGTCTCTGAGATTTGCTTCTTCATTCATAAAATGGGGGTGACTTTGCTGAATTGTGAAGAAGTCATGAAATGAGGAATGCTGAAGGGCATGAGCTTTGGAACACTGTGTTCTTGGCCAAGGCCTCTTCTTGCTGGAAGTTTTCTGAGGCTCCCATTCCTGGACTGAGCTAGGTACCTGCAATTTTCTGTACTTCCTCAAGCTAAGTGAGCATCTACTATGTACTAGGAGGAGAGCAGTGAACAATACAAGGCTTTTCTCATTGCTTATGTCTTATGGGAGGACAGAACACAAGTAATTACAGCTAGTGCTCGACTTATGACCACAATTGGGACCGGGAGACCGGTCGTAACATGATTTGGTCGTAAGTTGAGTAGGCTATATGTACGGTTGAAATGGTGCACGCAGAGATGACAGTGCTGCCGGAAGCTGGTCCGCACTGTCATATGCCCAGCTGGGCAATGTTTGCGCTGCCAGACACGGAGCAGTTGTGGCTAGCGATTGTGGTCGTAAAGTCGAATGGTCATAAGTTGCATAAGTCGTAAGTTGATCAATACTTGTAAATAATAATGTAACTTCGGTTGGTAAGTACCAGAAGATTTGGGGGAGGCAGTTTCCTAAGTGTGGCCCCTCAACCTTGGCACACTGTGTCATTATTGCCCATTTGTATGTTGAGCTCCCCCTCTGCCACAAGCTCCTGGAGATGAGGGACCCCAATTGATTCAGCTATGTGGCCCAGATAGCCAGCACGGTACCTGGTTACTGTAGGAGCTTGAAGTTCATTACTCTCCCCATGATTCAATCGAATGATCGATATCACATTTGTGATTTTCTAATCACAACTTTTCCATCAATAAATGGTCTGTCAGGCCTGCCTTGCACTGCTAACGAGTGAAGACTGTGAGGTAGTGCTGTCATCAGAGAGCTCGCTGCCTAGCGGAGGAAGGACCACCACCACCTCAATGACTAAGCACTGTGGCAGAGGAGGAATCCAGGGGCCATACTCTTTGTGATTCCTGAATCTTTCTGAGCTCTTGGAGCTGTCAGGCCTCACAGGAGAACAGGCTTTGGCTTTCCTAGACACTGAGGAAAATGGGGTGGCAGGAGTTTCCCAAATCTAGGCTGTTGATCCAACGGCAATGGCCTTGAGATTAGATGTGTTCCCTGTGAGCCACCATACTGTTCCCCAGTCCTGCTCCCAGGTCAATCAGTCTTCCTGGGACTCTGTCATTTCTCCACTGAATATAGGCACTGTGCCACAGGGCCCAACTCCTCAGCCATGGTGCCAGGTCCTTCTGTCCATGCCCAATCCAAACAACCCAAGCTTCTTCCCATCACTTACCCATTGCCAGTTGGCTCTGCCACTGACCCTGGCAGCCCTCAATCTCTCCCACCAGAACGGGGCTCATGCCCACTGATGGGCCTTCACCACTTGCTTGCTTCCATTGACCCATTCAAGTCACTTAATGCTTATTATCTGTTGAGTGCTATTTAAGGTGCTAAGCATACAGACATGAATGAATGTGGTAAAGGCCCCTGCCCTTATGAAGGTTACATTCTAGTGAGGAGAGGCAAGGAGTTAATAAATAAAAACTCAGAAACACATGGTGTGTCTGATGGTGCTAAGTGTTAAGAAGCCAGAGCAGGGAAGGGGGACAGAGCATGCCTGTGGGGTGGAGCTGTAATTTCAAATACAGTGCTATGGATGGTCCCCCTGAGAAGATCACATTAAAGCAGAGGCACAGAGGAGGCAGGATAGCTAGTCACAGAGACAGCTGGGAGTACGGTGTCCAAGGCAGAGGGAAGAGCAGATGGCCTTTGAAGATCAAATTTTCTCCCTCTTCCCCTTCTTCCTTCCTTTTTTTTCTTCCTTTTTGTCTGCATGTATTTATTTCAAAAAATATTTCTAGGAATATGCTAAGTGCCATGCATTGCATTGTCTTGCAGGTAAAAGGGCCCCCTTCTTTCAAGATGTACACACTCTACTGATAGAGGTGGACAAGATACACCAACAGTTACAGTGGGGATGTAAGAGGATTAAAGCAGAGAAGGCGCCACCATTCATGCTGGGAAGCCCTTGGACACTCTGGTGGTGCCCTGGGCCTCTTCTCAGAATAACATTTTAAAATGCATAAAATTAAATACATACAATAGCAAAGAAAGCAATGATTTTTCAAAAGTTAACCAAAAAAAATTTGTAATAATGTATGTGGTTTCATATTTGTACACTGAGTAACCAGATCTATAGGTCTATTAACTATTTTAAAAATATTGATAATCATAGGTAAAATTTTTAGATAATCTGTAACAACTGTAAAGTGATATGAAAATAACTATGATTTCTATTAGTGATAAATTACAGGAAACATTGATGTCACTGTGATTGAAGCCTACATTCATAATTGAAGGAAATGTTAGATTAATTTTAGGTACAGGTTAGTGAGCATTTATTTCCCCATACAGATTCACAAAGCTCCTGAATTCTAGCCCTAAGAACCTCGATGCTAGAGATTCATGTACAGTGGGTTCTGAGAGCACAGAGGAGGAATCGGGAAAACCTTTCTAGAGGGTGTGACTCCTTAGCTGGGTTCTGAAGAAGGCATAGGAGTTAGCCAGAAAGACAGGGGTGGAGGAAATTCCAGGTAAAAGGAAGAGCAACAGACAGCATTAAACTGTATGCCTCATTTGGGGGAACTGATAGTTAGTGTGGCAATAACTCAGAGTTTGTGTAGGTTTTGTTGGGAAGTTAGGCAGGAGAGGAAGACAATGGGGTCAGATAATGGGAGTTCTGAGTCCTACACTACAGAATTGGTCCCAGAGGTCGTGGGGTGTCCTTGAAGGATTTAAGCAGAAAAGGAACACAGCACGATCGGATTTGTATGTCAGAAAGATTATTTTGGCAGCTATGAGGTGGATGGATTGGAAGGCAGGAGAAACTAGAGGCAAGGAGATCGGTTAGAAAACTGTTCTAATTAGTCTAGGCTGGAAGAACCATGTGTCCCAGACAATGGCCATAGGGGTAGAGAAGAGGGGATGGACAATAGAGACCTACAAGACGGTAGAATCTGCATGGAACTTGGTACTTGATGGGGATGGGAGCTGGGGAGAAGAAGTGATCAAAGCAAAAATGCAACTAATTAACAGGGAAGCTGTGTTCAGGGCAGTAGCAGTCACAAACTGCAAACCTGAACTGCTTGTTCACACCTCTGTGCCTTTGTGAAGCTGAAGCTCCGTCTCTCTTCCTGGGATTCCCTCTCCTCCCCTGTTTCTTCCTCTTTCCTAACTCCTAGGTCACCTCACCAACTTCTCTCTCGCTGGGAAGCTTTATAGAAGTGGCAGGTTATCTTGAAGCTGCAGCCTAAACATAAGCCCTTTTCTGACTCCATCTGGACACCTGAGATTCCCTCCTTGAGCAGAGGCCCCTTGGCCCCCTCTGAATCCTTGATATCAGGCCTGTTCTCCTAGGGAACCAAAGCAGAATCAGCCTGGCAGCTGGCAAGTCATGGAGAACTGCCTGTCCGTCTGTGAGCTAACAACAGTCGCACTGGAAGTCAACAAGGGAAACGGAAACAGAGAGACCCAGCCTCCACGGGGGCTCACGCCCTGGGACCTGTGCCAGTGTGAACAAGGTTTTCCGGGTGAGGATTTCCCCTTGTAGAATACGAATAGCAGCTGAAGGCGAGCAGAAAGAGAACTCCTTGTGCTTTCCAAAGGGCTTTCCTTCTAACATTGTCTTATTTATTAAAGCTTTGTAACCAGCCTTCGGTGTCGTGTGTGTGTGTGTGTGTGTGTGTGTGTGTGTGTGTGTGTGTGTGTGTGTGAGAGAGAGAGAGAGAGAGAGAGAGAGAGAGAGAGAGAGAGAGAGAAAGAGAATGAGAATAGAAGTGGCTTGGGAATGAACACATGCCTCTTAGAACCCTTGAGATCTATAAAGACAGGGGTGGCTTAGAAGAAAAGATTTGGGATTAAAAAGGCTTGATGGGGCCAGAAGAATTGTCACTCTTTCCCACCAGGTGTACCTGCTCTTTTTCTCTCCATTCTCTAGCCCAGCCTCCACGTCTTGCTAGAGGCAGTCCCTGCTACAGAATGAGAGGGACAATGGCTTCCAGTGGTAGCTGCTGGCATGACTTGGCCCATGCTCGGTCTCCAGCCTCCTCTCCTGACATCCTTCCTTGCCAGTACTCCACACTCAAGCCACCTATGAGTGGCCCTGTTACTCATTTGGCCATTTGCACTATTAAACGTGCTGCTTTTTGGCCGGGGGCAGTGCCTCATACCGGTAATCCCAGCACTTTGGGAGGCTGAGGTGGGTGCATCACCTGAGGTCAGGAGTAAGAGACCAACCTGGCCTACATGGCAAAAACCTGTTTCTACTAAAACTACAAAACTTAGCTGGGCGTGGTGGCAGGTGCCTGTAATCCCAGCTATGCGGGAGGCTGAGGCAGGAGAATCACTCGAACTGAGGAGGTAAAGGTTGCAGTGAGCCAAGATCATGCCACTACACTCCAGCTCACGGGACAGAGTGAGACACAGTCTCAAAAAGAACAACAGCGGCAACAACACAACAAAAAAGTGCTGCTTCTCTTTCCTCGTGGGCAGGGAACAGAGAGAAGAAACACATTCTCCCAAAGTGGTGCCTGCTAAAGTTAGGTAATATGCTGTTAGGAGAGTTGTTGAAGGCACAGTAAAATGACTCTAGAAACAGAGCGTGTAGGCAAGACCTTGAGACAATACAGAAGGTGGCCAGAAGTGACACCTTTTTAATAAGCGACCCAACCAACCAAGTGTGCTTCTCTGGCCCAGGCCAGCAGGCTAACCAGCTCTGTGCAATCCCCTTGCTATGCCCCTTAGGTGCTGGCCCAGTGCCTGGCACATAAACCAGAGGCAGCCAGAATATCTGTGTGGATAACTTTGTGGAAGGACTGAGCGGGGAGACATGAAGCCACAGAGAGGAGCCAATCCTTCTCTCCTTGGTGAGTCCCCTCTTCGGAATATAAACAGGCTGTCGCTTGGATCAAAAGCACAGCTATAGGGAAGAAGAGGAAGAGAGAAGGAGTATGAGGAAGAAGAAAAGAAGGAGGAAGTGGAGGAGGAGGAAGGAAAAAGGGATGGGAAGGGAAGAGGGAAATCAAAGGGGTAGGTGGAGGAGGCAGTGAGGTGGAGAACATTTGGTAAGAATTTACCCACCTCAAATAACAATCTTGCAATCTCCTGCAGCTGCTAGAGAAGTCCAGTCTGCCCACAGGGCAGAGGAGGAAGGTACTTCCTCTGAGAAGGCTGAAGGCCTTGTAATCTCTATACCCACATTTGGGGAAGCTTGGATGGGGAGGGGCTGCCTGGGTCCAGCTTCCCACCCAGCCCTGCAAGCTTGGGGTGGGACCCTAGGAAGCCTGGCTTACCTGGGTCAGGTCCAGCTGCACTGGGTCTGGATGATGTGTCTCAGGAGCCAGCGGGCTTGGGTGAAGAGGGACAGTCTTTTCTAGAAGACACAGACTGGGACTCAGGAAACGGTGTTCTGATATCTTCTACAAGACTCCTGAAGCATAGCGGGATGGGCACAGGGCTGGGGGAGAAGGAATAAGTACTTAATTAGAAAAAGTGTATAGTTGGAGAGAGTTTTTGTTAGTCTTAGAGGTGGGAGAACTCTGAGCTAGAATAAAGAAAAACATCTTTTGCTGAGTGCTGACTTTGTGCTAGACACTGTGAAGTGCTAAAGATAAGGAAAGTACCCTTCATGGCTGCAGGTATTGCATGCCCATCTAGTGCCAGGGGCTTAACCCTATTTAATATCCACCACCAGCCCCAAGAGGCAGGCCTAAGTACTCTCATTTCATCATTGAGGAGCCCGAGACGTTCAGTCCTTGATTGGATGGGCTTCACCATTCAAGCCCTCCTCGGTTTACAGCAGCAGAGAGGCTCTGAAAGGTAAGTGACGTGTTACAGTTGAGAGCATCCGGCCTGTGGTAAGAGCTGGAAGCAGAACTGGCTCCTGGTCCAGGCCTGTGGCCTCTTCATTCCCCTAAGTTACCCTCTGCAGTTATCAGGCCTTCACTTTCAGGACATCCAGGACAATGAGGTTCCACAGCTCCTTCATGGGAGAAATACCCCTTGCAGGATTTCCAGTTGATTGCCAGTTGCCAGGGCCATCCTCTCCACTGATGGCAGCTTCTTCTTTTTTTCCCCAGTACCTGGTCACACTTGGCCCTCTCTAAGAGGTTTTCAGCGCCCCGGGCTACAGTTTTGTTCAGTTGTGCTCTCGGGGTGGTAAGGATAGCACACCCACATGCTGATAGAGCCCACGGGCTGATAGAGACGATAAGAAAGGAACAGCTGGGAGGGAGGGAGGAAGGGAGGGCCAGCAGGAGCCTGGGCCAGCGGGTGGGGCTGGTGGCTGGTGTTTCCCTGTAGGGCGAGGGCAGGCTCAAGGGACTGGCTTCCTTGTAAACAGTGTGTAGCCAGCTCTAAAAATACCCCTGCCCTAGACAGGGCACATTGAGCTCCTCTGGTCTCTCCCAGAGTCTTCCCAGGGGTCTCACCTTTCTCCTAAAAGGTCAAGGGGATGGGAAGAAAGTTGACTTGTGGAGGGTTGGATTTCCTTAGCAAGGAAAGTATAACCATATTTCCTTCCTCTGCAAAACAGAAAGGAGGATGCGCTATGGGTTTCAGCAACAACAACAAAAGGAAAAAAGAAAAAAACTTCCCTAGACCCCTGTTCTCCCTTCTGTAATCTGAGGCCTGGGCTGAGCTCAGGTCCAAGGGGTGGTCCTGATTCACAGCCTAGGACCAGGGAGCCGTCAGAGGAGCCTGCACTGTGATCTCCCGCTGTTCTCATGAGGCATGTGATCTATGACAAAACTGCTTGAAGCCTCAGTTTCCACAATTATAAAAGGGGATAATAATAGTGTTTAATTCACTTGGGTATGGAGAGGCTTAAATGAGATGCTATCTATAAAGCTCTCAAAACAGAAAGGAGGATGCGCAAAATGTTTGACACATGACAAACATTCAAGAAATGCTTATTATATAGTATACGGGAAGATAAAACGATTTCTGAATTCTAACGGAAGACTTGGTTTAATAAGAAATTTGGTAGGTAGGCAAAAGAAGTGTGGATAAGAAAAGGCTAAAAGTGTGTAAATCACAGAAAGCTCCAATCTGTTATTTGACAGATAGGGTCACTGACACTGAGGCCCATGGAGCAGAAAGGAGTTGGCCCAAACTAGACAATGTTGGCCACTGCTGATAGGTTCACTATAAAATACCAGTGTGATGAGAGCATGGGAAGTCCTGTGGGACTCTAAGCCTGCTTCACTAGAAGTTAGGAGAATGAGGCCTTCCATTCATGCAGAACTTTAAAGTTTGGAAAACCCTTTCCAGAAAAAGCCAGATCTTAGCAGATCACTGCCAGAGGGCTGAGTGCCGTGATGAGGAACTCTTGAGGGAGGACGTATGAGGACACAGCCAAGCAGAACGCATCCTCAGGACTGACGGCTGCCCGTGAGGCCATGTAGACTTGCCTTGACCCCAAAGACCTTGGAGGAGAGGCACAGGCAAGAAGAGCTTAGTACCAGCCGGGCATGGTGGCTCATGCCTGTAATCCCAGCACTTTAGGAGGCTGAAGCGGATAGATCACGAGGTCAAGAGATCAAGGCCATCCTGGCCAACATCATAAAAACCCATCTCTACTAAAAATACAAAAATTAGCTGGGTGAGGTGATGCACACCTGTAGTCCCAGCTACTTGGGAGGCTGAGGCAGAAGAATCACTTGAACCCGGAAGGCAGAGGTTACAGTGATCCGAGATCACACCACTGCACTCCAGCCTGGCGACAGAGCGAGACTGCATCTCAGGCACCACCTGAAAAAGAATCTTCTAACTTTGTACTATTTGTTTTGCTAGACACTAGTCAAATGTGGCTACTAAGCACGGGAAATGTGGTTGTCTGGATTTCAGAGACTTCATTAAAAAAGAAGGTACAATATCAAATTAATATTATTTTGATTTCTGGTTGAAATGATAATTTTAGGTCTATTGGGTTAATTAATATACATGATTAAAATTAATTTTGTTTATTTTTTCTTTTATTCTGTGGGTCCTAGAAAATTTAGAATCACACACGTGGCTTTCAGTATCTTTCTCCTGGGCAGTGCTATTCTAACTGCTACATTTGTGCAACAATGGAATACGCTCTCTCACTACGTAAGGAGCCTCTCACCACTGGACGTGTTTAGAAAAGCATTGTTAGTGAAACTCTTATAAGTAGATGGATAAACTTTACAATCCCTCCAACTCTGATTCAACGACAATTCCCAGACAGTGCTCTGAGGAGCACCTGTTCTTTGGCATATGAATAGGTTTACAGAGGAAAAAAAGGTTGATGATGAATTTAATATGAGAATTTTTTGATTAAATGAAGGAGTTAAATTCCTCCACTCCAAGACTTTTCAGAACCATCTAAGACATGAAAATGAAATTGTGGGTCGTCATGACAGGGACACTGTATGCAGCATTCCCCATATTAAGTTGGTCACAGAGCCTTTTTTTCCATAGAGTATGATCAAGAAATAATTTACTATTGTTTATTATTATTATTTTTGAGACAGAGTCTCATTCTGTCACTCAGGCTGGAGTGCAGTGGTGCCATCTCGACTCACTGCAGCCTCCTCCTCCCAGGTTCAAGCGATTCTCGTGTCTCTGCCTCCCAAGTAACTGAATTATAGGCCAGCACCACCACGGCCAGCTAATTTTTGTAGTTTTAGCAGAGATAGGGTTTCACCATGTTGGCCAGGCTGGTCTCGAACTCTTGACCTCAGGTGATCCACCCGCCTTATCCTCCCAAAGTGCTGGGATTACAGATGTGAGCCCCTGCACTCAGCCAAATAATTTATTATTAAGCTAATTCCTTGAGAATTGTTGTCCTTAATCTCTCAGGGAAAAAAAAAAAAGTGGATTCTGTTGCCAGACAGCACTAAATTCATAATTTGGTTATTTCCTAAGTGACCTTGGACATGTTACTTCAGCTTCATCAACCGTAAAATGAGAGGAAGAATATTCACTTCTCAGGATAGCTTTGAAGGTTATATGGAAAATGCAGTGTGGTGGCTGATACATAGCAGGTATTTCGTGAATAGTTCTAATTAACTAAAGCCCAGAGAGGGAACACAGCTTTCGCAAGCTCACACTGGAAATTAGTGACTGTGCTAGGTCTTGAATCTCCATCTCTGGGCTCTTGCAGTTCACCTCACTTCTCTTTATTAAGCAACACCATATAAGAAATGCAGTCCATCAGAGAAGATAGGCCGCCTCCCCAAGTTTCGTGTGATTTCATAGGTCAAGTTGACTTCAAATGTGAGACAAATATTTCCTTTTCTCCTCCCCTTTCTCCTCAGTTCTAGCCAGAGGAAGCTGCAGCCAGGCCTGGCAGTCTCCCCTGCTCTCCTCCACTGGCTTGGTTCCTGTTCCTGCTGGTCCTGGGAGCCCCTAGCAAATGGACTGCCCTTATCAGCCGGCTCCAGGCCAGAGGAGGAATCCTCCGGTCACATGTGACCCTCTGGAGGGAGAGAGACCTCGTAAATAAACACAGCCCACTCAGAGGAAGCGGGGAGAGGGGAGGGTCAAGGGGAAAGAATCCTTGACATTTTGGTGACTGGGCCAGGATTAAAGGCCACCAGGCATAGTTCTTATTGGCCATTTCTGCGAGGAATCGCAAATCCACATGGCTTTCCTGGATGACAAGGCTGTCTTTGACTAGCCCTAGGAGCTGGGGCATTCCCAGTGTCCTGCTGGCTTGATCCAGGCCTAATCCTTTGCCCAGAACTGACCTTTCACAGTTTACAGAGCACTTTATCTCCTGGCTCAGTGGAGTCTCACAGAGCCCTCCAGAGAGAAGAGAGTTTATCATCACCCTCCATTTACAGATGAGGAAACTGAGGCTGTGACAGTAACTGACTGACTGCTGGTTACCCACCTACAAGTGACCAAGTGTAGCCTGAAAGCCACATATATTCTTGCAGCAAATCCAGAGCTGCCCGTCATACCACTACCTCCTCCTTCATGGGTCTTGCTTTGTTCCCATTACTGAGCTCCATGCCCTGAGCAAGCCATCGTTCCTGCCTAGGAAAGTCCACAATCCAATGAGGAGGGAAGGTTGAAGGGATGAATCTCAACAGAATTGTGCACAGTGAAAGAAGCCAATCAAAGAAGAGTACACACTGTATAATTCCATTTATAGAAAACTCTAGAAAATGCTAACTGATCTACAGTGACAGAAAGCAGATCCATGGTTGTTTAGGGAAGGGAGGCAGAAGGAAAGGATTCAAAGAAGCACAAGGAACCTTTTAGGGTGGTAGACATGCTTACTATTTGGTGCTGAGAGTTTCTCATGTCTGTACATATCAATTGTACACTTTAAATACATACAGTTTATTGTATGTGAATTATAGCTCCATAAAGCTATTTAAAAAGAGGAAGATAAGTGGGGAAAAGAATGAAGGAAGTTGGCTGGCATATAATTAAATAAGTCTGTGCGCAGTCTTAAAATGGGGACACAAAGTACCATGGGCACATAAGAGAAGAAAGTAGAGATTCATTCCCAAAGAGGAGAGATCAGGAAGGAGTTCTTACAACAGGGTTTCAACAAGGCTCAAGGTATGGGTAAGTAAGAGTCAGGTTAAAGATTCAGATGGAAGACGCAGATAGAGTTTATTTGGGAAATAGAGAGTGGAGTATTACACACATGCACAACTCCCCAGTTTTTGAAGGGCTGAGGTTAAAACTAACAGCTACGATCCTCTCTTTTCTTCGGAAATTCAGACACACGCCCTACTTGGCAGGGAGCTGGTTTTGCTAACAAGATTCCTGACCTTCTCCCTCCCTCTCTGTGCAGCTCATCCCTCCCGTCCCGCTGAGGCCCCTACCCTCTCGGATTTCCTCTTTGAACTGAACTGCCAAATATTTGCTGGCTGAGCCACGAACAATCCTGGCTTCCAGGGCCCTGGGTACCCGTATTTCAGCCTCTTCCAAACTCCACCGTAGGAAGGAGGTTTGGGGAGATCCATGCGGGCACATGATGGGAGACTAGGTGCAACATAAAAAGATCTTTCTCTTTTTCTTCCATACCTTTTGGCTTAGTAATTGACATGTGACCATTGGAGAATTTTGAATAGTTTATCAGAATATATGGTGATAGAGGAGAAGGAGATTCAAGAATTGTTACAATGTTGTACACTGATTAACTGGCTAATTTGCTCCAAAGCCAACTCTCATCACTGCTCTTACAGTTTGTAAAACATTAATTTGGGTTTGGATGATCCTATGATTCATGGCTTTACATAAAGGACTATTCCAGTGACATATGAAACCCACATATGAAATTGTGGGTTAGCTCTTGCTTTCAATTTTTTGACACATTTGTTGATTTTAAACTGCCTCTTTTCAGAAGTTTCCTTATTAATTAAATAAAACACTCAGCCACATTCCCCTCATCTAACTCAGTACCCAAGTATAAGCTCAATTCTGGAGTCGCCTTTCCAACATTGGCTTAAGGGACATTAGTCACTGGGAACAAAACATAGTATTTGAACAGCTGTTTTGAGTATTCAGAGTCCAAGCCCTACAAGTCTGGAGAAGGTGGGGGCTGGGGGAAGGAAACCAATATTTACTTACTGAATACTTACTCTGAGCCAGGCACTGGGGACTTCACAGAGGGTATCTCTTTTAATTTTCTCAACAGCTCATTAATGTGTTCTGCCTCCTCTAGGCATGGCAAGGTTAAGAATTTGTAAGATCACACAGCTCATAAATGGTGGAGCTGGGGACTTGAACCCATACAACCTGACTCTAGAGCTTATATTCTTTAATACTTCCCTATGTATGCTTTGTTAAAACTTCCAACACCAAGATATAGGTGCCATTATTATCAAATCTGTTTTCTAGATGGGAAACCAGAGGCTCAGAAGAGTAATTTTCCCAACATAAATTAAATGAAGACCCTGGATTTAAATTCTGTGATCCCAGGCAAGTCACTTCGCTCATCTATCCATCATCCATCCCTCCATTCATTAATTCAACAGATAGTGTCAACTGCTTACTCCAGGGACTGTCTTATCCTTAGAGATGAAAAGTATATAAAATCTGGCCCTTGCTTTTTAAGAACTCATAATCCAATGAAGAGGGCAAACACCTACACAACAGTAAGACAAATGACTGCAATATGACAGGGGCTGTAAGAGGTGTCTAAAACAGTCACAAGAACATAGAGGAAAAGCATCAAATTATTTGATGAAGTAAAGCAAGGAGGCCTCTGGAAAGGAGGGGACATTGGGCTAATATGCTCTCCAGGCAGAGAAAGGGGAAAAGAGATACTCCAGGGAGAGAGAGCATCAAAGGCAAAAAATAAATAAAATGATATAGTTTAACAGGTCACATATTGAGTGCCTACCACCTGTTTTAAGTGCCATCTCTCTAATTCTCATGTCAATTCTGTGAAGTAGGTATTATTCAGACAACGTTACAGAAGAGGAAACACAGGCACATAAAGAACAGGCACCTTGCCTTTGCTCACACAGCTAGTAAGAAATAGAGCTGGAATTCAGCCCTGGGCAGCCTGGCTTCAGAGCCCATACTCCGAGTGTTTGGGGGCAACTGCTACTAGTTCCTCACAGGTGAGGCAGGCAGTACGACTGGAATCCGTCTACAGGGTCTTCCTGTATGCTGGCTTTAGGCCACTTTCTTCATGAGGCCTTAGATGATCTCCATCTAAGGACCTGGACCGTTTGGGATCCATGAGAATGGTAATACTGTGGTATATTCATGTGTGCTTCTATGTTGAGGGGTATACCCACCTTTCTCAGGGGAATGATAGAATTCCCCTCCCCTTTTTTTTTGAGACAGTCTCACTCTGTCACCTAGGCTGGAGTGCAGTGACATGATCCCGGCTCGCTACAACCTCTGCTGTCAGGTCCAAGTGATTCTTGTGCCTCAGCCACCTGAATAGCTGAGATTACGGGTGTGTGCCACCATGCTTGGCTAATTATTGTATTTTTAGCAGACTTTAGATGGAATTGCACCATGTCGGTCAAGCTGCTCTTGAACTCATGGACTTAAGCCATCTGTCTGCCTCAGCCTCCCAAAGTGTTGGGATTACAGGGGTAAGTCACCATGCCTGGCCTCTATTTGCTTTTGCTTTCGACACAGCTGTCTCTGCTCATTTTAGGAATATTGGGTGTCATCGGCTCAGCTGGATTCTCTTGGCTTCAATGTCAGTATCTGAATTCTTGTTCATTTTCTGTTTTCCCTCCCTAGGCTGGCAAGTCCATGAGGACAGAGCCCTTGTCCATGTTCTCCACCAGGCCACCAGCGTCCAGCACAGTTCCTGGCACACAGTAGGTACTCAATAATTGTTGAATGAACTCTGGGTCTCTGATTAATAATTTATTTAGAGAGCAAATTAATTGTGCGTTAACAAATCTAGTTGGGTCAACAACATGCTTCACACTGCATTCAGTGGAGCAGGAGGGAATCACGGAAGGGTACTCAAAGACGAAAAGTGCAGGGACTACTGGCCTAGATCCGTGGTGTACACATGAAGCTATGCTTTTCAAAGAGTGTGCCTTCCGGTATTTCCATCCGTGGTCTGAGGAGCTGTTTGAGCTTTCCAGGTGATTCTGAAGTCACCAGATCAGTACCTGAGGCATGGAAAGTTTTGGTCCCCTCCTCTTCTAACTTATTTATTTTTGTCCTCCAAACTCATTCAACTTGTGCTTGAACACGCTCAGCCATGGGAGCTCATTATTTCACAAGGCAGGCTGCCCACTGTAAGAACAACAGCAATCACCACGGCACCACGTAGGGACCATACATGGAGCAAGTCTTAGGGGCCGGGTACTGTACGTACCTGCTGCTCACTCCAGAGGCGAGGTGGGTAGTATCTGCCTGCATTTGACAGCTAAAGAAACCGCAGCTCCGACGTTTGGTGGCGTTGGGAGTCTCAGTGGCGGCGGGGCAGGGCCTGGACCCAGGCCACGTCCCGCCCGCCGCCGGTTTCCCGCCCACGGGCCTGGGGCTGCGGTGCTGGGCGGCGCGGGGGCGGCGGCGGTGCCCGCGGGAGGAGCTGGTGGAGGGGGCCGCCCGCCACGTCAGCGCCCGCCCGCCTCGGCGCTCCGCCCGGCTCTCCCGGGCCTCCCCATAGAAGGTAAACCCGGGCCGGATCCCACGAGGGCTGGTGGGGCCGGGCGGCTGGTGGTTTCAGTTTCCGAAGAGCCCGGCCCTGCGCAAACGCAGGCAGGGAGGAGGGATCGGGAAGCCTTCCCGACAGATTGCAGATGAAATGAACGCGCCCCGCCTGAGCGTCACGCGGGAGCGCGCCGACCCAGCGCGGCGCCGCGGCCTCCCAGCCTCCCAGGCCGGGGGTCTTCGCGGGCCCCGACCCCGCAGGGCGCCCCGGGGCGGGCAAAGGCAGCAGCCTCTGTGCGGCCTTAGGGCTCAGGGCGAGGAGAGCCGGCTCCACCCTCCCAGCCCGGGCCCATCCTCCGGCCTCGGCCAGCCCCTTCCCTCCCTCTGTTGGACGTTCGCGTTCCCTAGGCCTCGCAGACCTCTTAGAATGTTTTCCTCGTGAGGAAGAGCGGAGGAACGTGGCCAAGACCCACACGAACTGCAAACACGGGGCATCCTCTGTGTGGGGGGACATTTTTCCGGAACCGACAGACCTGGGTCTGAATACCCGTCCTACTGCTTCCTCGCTGGGTGACCTTTGTGTACCTTTCTCCATCTCTCTCAGCCTCATTATCCTCATCTGTCAAATGGGGATAATGATGCCTTAATTCTCTTTAAGATACGCTGTGAGGATTAGATTGGATAAATATAGATCATACACATTAAGGACTTAGTGTTCTCAATGGCAATTAACATTATTATTCATTATATTGTTATTACGAATGAGTAATAATGACCCTCAAGATTATTAATGCTACTGTGTCAAAAATATGCTCAATTTTTTTTTTTTTTTTTTTAGAGAAGGAAATAGTTTTATGAAGGGTAAATAAAGAGGAATAACACTGGGTCAGGAAGTATATACCCATTACCTCATTTAATATTGAAACAGCTTCAGAGGGTGGGTGTTATCATACCCATTCTACAGAAGAGAAAGTCGAGGCTCCTGGAGGTTCATTGACTTCCCCACCTCACACACTTTACACTTGGTGTCCTGCCCACCTCTCTCACTGACTTCCTTGACCGCATCCCTTACCTCCAGTCCCTTTATACCTGCCTGCCTCAGCAAAGACTCCTCCATTTGCAGAGAATGCGGTCTTCCCTTCCCCAGCTTTCATCAACCTGGAAGAAAATGTCACCTCTGGAAACTGGATAAAGCTCACCTCCTCCAGGCAGCTTTCCTGATTCTCTCCCTCCTCCCCTATAAAATTAACCTTTCCTTTCTTTCTTCTCTTGGTGCCCGTAGTACAAGGCTGCACACACTTACTGCAGGTTGTGTCTCCCCTGTGGGAGTGTGCCTGTCTAAGGCAGACGCCACACACTTTTCCACCCTTGGAGGGCCAGTATGGTTTTGTTACAGGCACAGGCTTGGGAACCCAGCTGTTCAGTTTCAGTTCTTAGCTTTACTACCTACTGGTTGTGAGGCTTAGCCAAGTGACTTAACCCCTTTCTGCCTCACTGTCCTTATCTACAACATGGAGATTAACAATAAGATCAGCCTTGTGGGGTTGCTATAGGATTGAATGAGCTAAGATGTGGAAAGCACTTTGAACTTCTAATTGTCAGATGTTCACTGAATGAAGGCAGAATGGTGAAGGTCTTGAATGTTACTTACTAACAGGTAGTGTGACAGAAAGCATGTTGCAGAGTTAAGAGTAGGGGTATCAGAGACCTAGGTTCTCATCCTGGTTCTGCCTTTAACTTTGGATTTGGGCCCGTTCCTCCCTCTGTCTGAATCTATTTCCCCTTCTGCAGAATGATAAGTTTGGCTCCCACTGCTAGATGACTTCAAAGGGTAATATTAAGTGGTATTAATGATCAGTTCTGTGCCTCTAGGACTTTGCTTGTGTAATGTTTCAAGTTAGGGGTCACACTTAAAAATAAACGACTGGTTTGTCCCTGTAAGCATGAAGGTCAACCACTGGCTACCATGAACTCAAAGGTAGAGGATCGTGCCAGGTATGATAACTGCCAGCTTTTTCTGGGCAGTTCTTAGCTCCTGGCATTGGACCAAGTGCCATCATTGTCCCGTTTAATATTCTCAAGAACCCTATAAAAAAGGCTCTACTATGATCCCCATTCTACAGCTGAGGAAACAGAGGCTAGAGGTTAATAAGCTTGTAACTAGTTGGGTAGGATGTAGAATCATCACTTGTCAGGCTTCAGGCCCCATGACCTACAAAAACCCTCTCTAACACATGCCTGGTCCAATACCTCTGGGGGCAAAGAACCTATCGTCTGTCAAGCCTGTTTATCATTAAGCATCCTAAATAGCCAAAAAGAGTAAGCTGCCATTTTTACATGAGCTTCATTCATGACTTTGCACTTAGGCTCCAGATAGACATGATTTGTGTTAAGGGTTAAGAAAAGGGAGAATATAAATTCCCCCAAGGTGGAGCTTCAGGAGCAGTTTACAGTCAGGTGGCCAGAAGACAGAAGCCTCTGCTCCTACTTTTTTGGGCCTCACTTCAGAGCCCCCCACTGACAGGGTCGTGCCTGGGGACAACACTGTGGGATGCTAAGGAATTTCACTACAGCCTTGGTTGGGAGTGGGCTGAATTCAAAGCATCAGAAATTTGCATCTATAATTCCCAGTCAATTGAGATACAGTTCCTTGGAGGTGGGGTTTGGAGTGTGGTGGAGGTAGCAAATAATTAGCAAAAAGTTAGGCTAAATCGGGCCTGCAAAACTGGAGGGAGAAATTACTCCAGGTTTTATTCCGTTTGCTGTCTTTCAAAAACACACACACACGCAAATATCCCGCTTGAATAGCTCCAGAGGCTCACCTTTCCAAACAGGATGAAGTCCGCACTCCTTGGGGTGACATTCAAGGCCTCCCACAGTCTAGTCCCCACTCACCTTTTTCGCCTCTTCTCCCATCGTATTCCCAGCTCCGCTCCCATCCAAAGAATCCCACGTGGTCCCCTGAATACTCCCAGCCTGTTCCTGCTTCCGTGCCTTTGCACATGCTATTCCTCCTGTCCCACAGCACACCACCACAGATGTCACATCTAGATGAAAACACCAATCCTGTTATAAAATGTGTTGGTTTTCCTCTCCCACTCCTGGATAGTCCCTGCTAAGAGAGAACCTTTGCTGTCTCTTTGGAATTACAACTGAAAACACAGCAAAACAAATTTTAAAACACCAGCTAGAAACACTGAAGGTTAAGGCATCAAGTGGGTCCCCAAAGCATTGTTGGAAGACCAAAACCTATAAGGCTGAGTATCAGTGTGGTTTGGAAGTCTTGAGTTGCCACCAAACTAATTTAAGGATAACGTGTTCCTAAGTTTGAACAATTTGCTTTATAGATGTTATGCTAAAACCCAGCAACAGGACTAAAAAGCATTGTTAGGGAAACCTCTACAATTTTTTCAGAAAGTTACCCAGACTGGGGAAACCTTCTTGGGAGCATATTTAACATACCATGTCGTCACAGGTTTCAAAAAGCATGAAATGCGATTCAGGGCCATTTTTCGTGATACCAAAACCTTTGCGTGAAGTGAAGTCACCATATCATCTGGCCTACCTAGGAGGTTCTGGTTTATGCTCCTTGTCCTGACATAATTACCAATAGTTCCACTTTGATTATCAGGTACCTTAATTTGGAAAATAAATTATATGATCACTCTAGCACTGGGTAACCAAACAAGAGCTTGTCTAAATGGTTGCTTTGCTAAGGGTTTGCTGTCTGTCGGACTCCAGTTCACGTTTCAAGACCCAGCCTCTGTCACCTCCTCTGAGACAGGATTAATCTGCACTCCCACAGCACTGGGCACTCACCTCCATTCACTCACAGATCCTCTTTGGCTTTGTCTCCACTAAGCACTGGGTCCCCTCATCCAGAACCACAGTGTGTTCTGTACATCTCCCTGCACAAGTCCTGGGTACAGTAGACTCTCAGCAAGAGGTTGTGGAGTGAATTATTTTGGACAGAAATGTCCCCAAGAGGATTCAGTTTTGCTTTATTTTATTTTCAGTCATCAAAAGAGTAAAAATGTTTCTAGAAACTTGTTAGGCCGTAACCCTGAACATCAAAAAAGGGATATGAACTACAAATGCCTTCAAAAGGAAAGTCAGTAAATATTTAGGAAAGTGACAAGAAGCGCTCAAATATGCATCTTGTTGTTGTTAAACGTTAAAGCTTTATCAAGCTTCTTTAATAGTTTTTTTGCTTGTTTTTGTTTTGAAATGGAGTCTCACTCTGTTGCCCCGACTGGAGTGCAGTGGTACGATCTCGGCTCACTGCAACCTCTGCCTCCCGGGTTCAAGCAATTCTCCTGTTTTAGCCTCCCAAGTAGCTGGAACTACAGGCGTGTGCTACCACACCCAGCTAATTTTTGTATTTTTACTAGAGAGGGGGTTTCACCATATTGGTCAGGCTGGTCTTGAACTCCTGACCTTACATGATCCACCTACCTCGGCCTCCCAAAGTGTTGGGATTATAGACATGAGCCACCATGCCCAGCCTTAAATAGTTTTTTAAATTTCAAATTCTAGCAGTAACTCTACTTTTACTAAAAAGAAACTTTTACTTTCTACTCTTTTGTATCCTCCGTTAACAAGCATGTTGCTTTTTCTTTAACATGTATGTTTTTTATTAAGTTGTATTCCTTTTTAACTAGAAAATTTTTATTAGAAAAGATACAATTATTGAAACAAAAAATCAGTTTCCTAAGAGCTCTGAGAGATCATTGAGATAAATCCTTTTATTTTATATTCCAAAGAGTATGTGCTGGGCATGGGGGGTTGAAAGGGAAGGAGGAAAAACTGAGAAACTAACAGGGGCCCAAAGAATTTAAGGAATTCAGCAGAAGCCTCATGGACAGTAAGTGGCAGAGTCAATACTGGAACCCAGTTCTCTGAATCCATGTCTCTTGATCTTTGCACCACACTCCTCTAATTTCTTTGGACTGGCAAAAGGCATTTGAGCAGAAATGCTCTTGTCATTCCTGGAGTTAGAATGTGAGCTCCATGCCTCAA